CTCTCTCTCTGTCTCTCTCTCTCTCTGTCTCTGTCTCTGTCTCTCTGTCTCTCTGTCTCTCTGTCTCTCTCTCTCTCTCTCTCTCTCTCTCTTAGTAAATTGTATTGCCATCATTAACATGTATACAGACCAAAACACATCTTCACATGGGTTTTATAACATTTTCAATGTTTTGTTGAGAAATTCTGCCCCACTTTCGCTGCTGCACGATTTCCCAATAGCTGCAGATTCGCAAAACGGCACACACTTTTCCCTTCAGTTAATCCGATATGTGCTCTGTAGGAGACATATCCGGTACGAACACTGGCCAGTCCATGACATTGATGTTATGACCTTCCAGAAACTTCCAGAAACTGTGTTGCTTGTTAGTTGGGCAGTTTAAGGGCAGGAGGTTTCGTGTTGGATGACAGAGATCTTACTTTTTTTTGGTGCTGTTTCGCACCGTGAAGACCGCGCTGTTGTCATGTCATTGCTTCGTCAATAGCAGTCCTAAATAAGGCGTTCTTGATCGAAGTGCTGAACACTTACACTGACGAAAGAAACATTATCACGCACTCCATAAATGCCTTTAGCTCTTGTTTTTGAGGAACGAAACGATTTTGCAGATGCGACAATAAAATCTACTTCTCTTGAACAGGGCTGGTCACTCTTGACTGTCCTATTTTTTGTACCATCCCGGACTTTTCAAGTGTTCTAAAATCTTTGTATAAGTCTAAAACAATACAAGCACTGCATTTTAGCGCATTGCTGCTTCTCAGGCAGATTTTCCGTCGTGAACAAGGCGGAAGCGAAAGTTGGGATCAGCTTCATTAAGTTGAGGAGTCTTGTAATGTTAGAAAAAAACTGTTTAAATGATAGAATAAAAGCTCAGATTTTCGTTTAGAAAGCGCTACGGGCCATCTTCCAATTAAATAACTGTTTTATTCATTTGTAATATAGCAACTAATGAACACATTTTTTTTTACTAAGGCATAGTTTACTGATTGAGATGAAAAGTACGCCTGGAGATAGCAAAATCGAGCATGGGTGGGTGGACTAACTACTGCTCCCTTGTGCCTCCCATAATCGTGACGATCAGAACATATTTGGCTTTTTTAAATGAACTTTTTGAAAACGTCGCGTTTTTACAGGCGTTCAATATATAATATATATTTTTATATGTATATACTTGTTAATGAACACGTATATTTTAAAATTTGGTACAAACTGATTAAACCCTCCAACATCTAACAGTTGATTATTTTACAGGTCAAAACTTGGATGGTTTGACGAAAACAGCTATTCAGATCTCTTGTTTGCGTGCAGAATCAACATAATTACCTGAAAAACTCACAGGTTATATTCAATGTAGCAAGGCAGCAGTATTTCGGTGCAGTATACATTAATCAGTTCCATTATAAACCCGACCCGATTTGATCATGGACTAGACCAGTGGGCGTTCATTTTTGTCTCTTGTCGTTCAGGGGAATTGCGTCAAAGTGAAAATACTTTGAGCAGAAACTATGTGCTCCTGCTAGGATGTATAATCACACTGCCCTTGTTGGCCATGAAACACGGTGTCGCAGAAGCCCATCCTCTAAATGATCGAGACAATGTGTCAGCTGAAGTGTGATTGACAACAATTAAAACTAGATCTGAAAGTAACATAAACGTTTAGATAATTCGTTTCTTTTTTCAGATATAACAAATATTTCATACTGTTTAAAGGGTTTGTAGATGATTTTAAGACCAACATTTAGAAACCAAAAGGAGACTGGTTTGTATGAGCTTCGAGTAATTATAGACTGTTATATTCACTTAGTCCACCGTCCTTTTCGGCAGCGCCTTTACAAACACACAGAGATACTCTTAGCCACAAGCAACTCTCCCATCCCTCCCATTTCCGATAACGTTATGTATTTCAATCGGATCCCTCTTAACTCGTCGCCATCTTTGTGTAAGGTTTCTTCAGATGATCAGCCCACAACAAAGGTCACGCAGGGAGATTCGCACCTCTGGGGCCCGCACTGCTGATACCACAAGAAGACACAAATTCACACGTTCCAGGACCAAAACATCCCCACTTCCTGCAACGACACAGAACGATACGAAGCAGACTCTCAGACTCCCTCCTTCAGACTCCCTGTTCTTGACAGCAGCCCGTGAGGGTAAAGAAGTGTGGAGAGCCTACAAACATCGCCGTGGATCGGGACATATCTTCAGGGTTGTCAGAATGGACAGACCAAGCTCAACGGACTCTCTCATGCTGAGATCTCTCGTTGATCGCTATCACGACTTAGTGTCTTCCCAGAAAATACGCAGAAGTGAAAGAAGTTTTGAAAACGAGACTAAAGACTGTTTGTCAGAGGATGACAGCGGAGAAACTGGAGAATCAAAATTTTCTCAGCGTCACAAGAATGAACCCAAATGTTCTTGCAGTGCACAGGGAAATTCCAAACTTAGCGAGTTAAGCACAGCAGTTGCAAATGAAGTATGCACGAAATCCTCTAGAATGAAAGATTCTCACATGGACTCCATGGCAAACATGATGCCTTTGTCTCAGTTAGACAGCAGTAGTAAAAATGTGTACAATGGTAGAAAGACTAGAGGTGAACTTTTAAAAATGAGAAGAAACGAACTGCAACAGGCTACACATATTTCCAAGGCAGTAATATCCAACAAGACGACCTCTCCAACCCCCGTAAAAGTAATGGGTAGTATCAACGATGACAGTGACAGTGATTCAAATGCTTCCAACAAATATGCCAAGAGAGATGTAAGTTTTGGGCATGAATGCTTTGATGAAGAAACAATCTCCCGGAGAAGAAAGTCTTTGACAGAGGACAGATCGACCAAAGAAGCGGAACATGGGGCAAATGCCGAATCTAGAAGCCTCAGTAAGCTATCTCGCTGCAGCAACGTGAGTATCAGATTAATAGACCACCTGAACAAAGCAGTGATGTTACCATCAGATACTAACAACGAAATCATGAATCAGAAAGAAAAGGTCAAAGTTTTCAGCACCGAAGCATGGCCATTAAGTAACAATACTTGTGAGCAAATCCCCAACTTGAAGGACGCTTTTGAAGCTAAGCACAGTGACTATGCAAAGAAAGTACTCCAAGAACAAAATACGGACGTCATTGGTAAAGGGGATTCGCGTTGGTCATTCCAACCCATCACACCGGAATCGTCTAGTGGGGACACATCTCGTACTTCCGCTATTGGGATTGCCAGTTTGACAGAAATCGACTATAGTCCCACTTTGCCAAGTTTAAGTGCAGATTCTCCCCAGTCCATTGACTATACGGAGTTATCATTTTCAGATATTCAACAGATTCAACGCTCAAAGCTTCGCCCAACCTCACCAACCGTTGGTCAAGAAGAAGAGATTTTAAATGATATTTTCAAAATTACTAAGAAAACAGAATCTGATATTCTGCCAGGAAGAAAGCAATTTTCACCATCTAGGAAGAAACTGAAGTCAGCTCTAACATCAAACTATACGTCTAGTGTGATCGAGTCTGCGAGTATGAGGAAGAAATCACCTTCTGTAATGCATAAAGACGCCGCTTGTCAGTACTCTCCGCCTTTTTCTGAACAGACCAGAAGAACTTTGCAAGAAATAATCCCTCTTGACAATTCAGCTAAAAGTGGATCTCTGGAGCTGTCACTGAATGCAAAGAGTAAACCTGATAAGCAATCTAACAAACAGAAAGCGAAAAAGACTTACGTGCCTTTCATTTTCTACTCCGATTCAGAAAGCGATTTAAACTCCGGTACTGTCGTGGACAGCATCAACAAACAGAAAGTTAAACTGATGGACAGAGAATCGGACGATTCGATGGACCTTTCTAGATATTCGGGTGTAAACAGTCCAAGTGTGGTTCCAAAATGTTTCCAAGCTCCTCGCAATACAAACACATGTTGCTGTCATAATTCGGACTCTAAATATAGAACAAAGCCCCGAAGTTGTGAAGAAAAAATATACCATGACAGTCATCAGGGAACCTGTGGCAAACAACAACTCTCCAAAGAAAAACAGGGGGATCCTTGTTTAACTTCTAGACAAAAAGAAAATGTGTCTCTCTCTGGTTCTTATAAAAACCTGAATTACTCAAACATGAGCGACAGTGAAAGCGTCGCTGGAATGACTACCATGAGTCCCTCAAGGCCGCCTCGTAGCGTTTTCTCTGAAATGGACTCCATTCTGACGTCACAAAGGACGCCCATGACGCTCAGAGAACTCCAGACGATGGTGGCTGAGTCCAAGCAAAATAGTCACTTCACCCTCAGTCAGAACATCAACACCAACTACGAACAATTTGACCTCCAGAAGGAACTGGTCTCTAACTGCGAGAACTCTAGTACTTTTATAGGAGAATATCTGCTGAAATTATGGCGTAGTCAGTGCCTCTGTGATGTCCAAGTGCAGGTACTGTAGGATTATTGGTATCTCATTGCCATTATTATTATGACACACGTGTTCTGTAATTATGACATAATGTTAACCGCCCTTCAGCACTGTGAGGTTATGAAAGAAGCAGTTGGTCCAAATTCAACATCCATCTGCAATAGCATCGATCCAAAAAGACATAGAGCCTAAAAAGCTAGCCAAACAACCCAGATATAACATCAGGGATTCAAATAACTGAACCAACACATTGCCTCGTGTATGAGTGTACCACTTTGTTAGTTTCAAATAATGAAGTTCAAAAGATAAATACTTTTTATAAATGGACAAGGTGAAAGGAATACGAAGGCAAACATAACCCCAGACGATAAACAAAAGAAACGGTGACATCCTGGAATGTTCACCTTGGAACAGAGTCGACATATGGGTAGCATCTCATGCTGGCGGCTGGGGTTCAATAGACTAATAAATGGAAATGACACAGTAAGAAGGCAGGCTTTATTTTAGACAGTGAATTTTTATGTCTTTAAGCGAGCGTTCAAAATAAGAGTGATGATGATAGCATTAATTCCTATAATATGGTTTGCACTACAGTGTTTAGGAATTGGAAATGTCTACGCTAATGTATTTTGTATCCAACCGGAAGGCCTGTGGAATAAAAGGGTGAAAGTAAGGAAAGGGTCCATGAATGTTTTTAAATCAAAACATTTGCTGTCGGAAAAAATCCCTAGTAATAATATTTGTTATCTGTCCAAGCTCGAAACAGACACTTAAAGAATGATACTTACGTCAAGGCACGTTCGCTGCTACAAAAGCCCCCTATGGCGAATTTTAACCTGTTTCATTTCAAACTCTGTAGAATACGACGCATGACACTTTGATCTATTAATAATAGGACATTATTATTATCATGGCTAACTTTGCCTAATCTAACAGTTCAAAGCAAAGTGTGATAAAGACAAGGAAATTCCTTTTTCAAAGAGACTTAATCTGCTTTATTCTTTATTATTAATTTTAAGAAAAGGGCTGTAATACCTCTTTCAAATATTAATTAAAAATGGTTCAGCCCTAATCATAAGGGTGTTGAAACTACTTTCCAAATTTTCTCGTTCACAGTAAAGAAAAAAATACCCCCCCCCCCCATACACACACACAAATACACACCAATACACACCCGCACAGATATACAGTGAAAGGGAGGTAGGATGCATATGCGTATTCAAAAAGTGCGGGAAAAGCGAGAAGTTTCGTAAACACTTTAAACATTTCCTCAGTTATTGTGGAAAACATGATTACGCTCAAAAAACAAATTGTGCATAGTGTGGGTGACTTTGATTCACCCGTTAGAAATATATTTGACTAATTTTCCATCACACTATAATTGTTTTTGCTTTTGTCATAGCTTAAGCATGGTTTTCATACTACATAAAATGTTAGGTGGGACAAGACTGTTTCATGGCCCACAAGTTGGTCCTGGCTGCCTTCAGTGATGTGTTCTGTCCGACGACACCCCAGCCTCCTCCATCAGTCTGCTTCAACATTCCCGACAGCTCGCCAGAGGCGGTCTACCAGGTAAGCCTATAATATATGCAGAGAGAGAGAGAGAGAGAGAGAGAGAGAGAGAGAGAGAGAGAGAGAGAGAGAGAGAGAGAGAGAGAGAGAGAGAGAGAGAGAGAGAGAGAGAGAGAGAGAAATACTAAGTTCTCTGAAGAGTAGGATGTGTTAAAAAAACTCAACATTTTGCTGCTTCAATTACTGTTCACAAATCCAACATTGAAATATTAATAGGAAATAAACATTTTCCCCAACCTTTTGGCTGATTTTTTTCTATCTTTTGCCCTGCATGAAAATTTATAAGCGTTTACCAAAAGCCGCAATAACGTTTGATCATTTTGACACAAGAATGATGGTACGTTTGACTCCACATCAGAGAATTCGAGACTGCAGATACACACAAAGCATGCCGAGGGCTCGAATCTGCAGTCACCAAAACATTCAACATAATATGGTTTTCTGTCGGTGTTTGAAAAGGAGGTAGAAAACAGATTGGTTTAGAAATGGAGATGTGTCAGTAACCAAATGTATGACTATAAAATGACATAATATAGTTTTAACATTTCTATCGACAGAGTATAGTAATTTGAGACGTATGATCTCAGATTATATTAACGTCTCTCCTGTTTAGTAAGCCCCTCGAGACACCCGAGCGAAATTCAGAATTGATTCCAACTCAGAGCTGAACCCACTCTACTAAGTATAAATATTAAACGTACCTTCGAAAACGGCACGGGACTGCCAGTGGGGGATAGATAAAATTGCCATATACGTAGTAAAAGTCAACTGCATTGTGCAATGAAGAGCTTTTCATCTGAGCTCTGTCAGTGGTACTCACAAGAAGAAAAAAAAAGACAAGCAAGGGTCGGGTATACTATTTGCATTCCTTTTGTCGCCATGCTGCTCGCCTGGTCAGTATTTAAAAGTATCACAGAAAAATAAACAGATTTCGAAAGATTTCACTCTAATGATTTTGCAACAGTCTTCTCCTTGTGTTTGTAGATCTTCAGGTACCTGTACACATCCAGCATGGAGTTACGTGATGAACTCTTAGAAGCCACGCTTAGCGCTGCCTTGTTCATGGGCATTACAGAGGTAGTGGACGTGGTGAAGGACATTCTCGAAAAACCTACAGTGGAAAATGTTACGGTCAGTGTCAGTTAATACTACACCTTGCTCAACATCTTGAAAATGAAATTGCAATGATGATAATGGTTTTGGTAGCGTCCTTGATATTTTGTCACCACTACTACTACTACTACTACTACTACTACTACTACTACTACTACTACTACTACTACTACTACTACTACTACTACTACTACTACTACTACTACTACTATT